TTTACATCTCCCCGAGAAAAGTCACACACCCCTGGGGTTTGGCAGTTACGAAGAAAGCCGTCTTTTGCGAGTTTTGGGTGGACACATGATCATTTATTTAGAATCAGTTCCTAGAAGTAGAATGTCTAAATTTTATTTTTAAAGATGTACACTTTTATTGTCCTTCCATTTAAAACATATTTAATTTCACGTGTATGAGTGTTTTATCTGAATGTATACACATGCTGCATCATGCAAGATGCCCACAGAGGCCTGAAGAAGGTCACGCATGTCCTGGAACTGGGGTTACTGACAGTTCTGTGCTGTCATTTGTGTGCTGGGAACCAAACCCAGGTACTCAGGTCTTAGCGAGCCATCTCTCCAGCCTCTTCTTTTCTTCTGTAAGAGGTTCTCATTTATCCCAGGCTGGCCTCATCCCCATGCAGCTGAGAATGAGTTTGAACTGCTGATCCTTCTGCCTCTGGCTCCTGAGTGCTGGGTTTAGAGGACTGCATCTCCATGACATTGTATGCAGCGCTGGGGAGGGAACTCAGGGCTTCATGCCAACAGCCATTCCACCAGGTAGCTACACAGCCAACTCCTGTGTCTGTCCTCCGTCTGTCTACCTGCCTTTCTTTCTATCACTAGCTCTCTATCCCTCCCTCCCTCTCCCTTACCCTCTTCTGTTACTCTTAAGGCTCTTACTCTGTAGCCCTGGCTGTCTGGACTCCCTGAATACCTATGTGAACAGACTAGTCTGTCCTGGAACTTGCAGTAAACCTCATGCCCCTGCTGCCTCAGTGCTAGAATTGTGGTCAGATTCCATGATGCCAAGAGTGTAGACTTACCTTTAAAAATGCCTGTCAAAGGGCTGGGACAGCTCGGTTCATAAAGTTCTTGCTTGCTATGGAAGCATAAGGTCTGATTCTCCCAAATCCTCATGTAAAAAGCTGGCTGTGGAGTTAGAGAGATGGCCCAGCAGTTCTTACAGAGGAGCCGGGTTTGATTTCTGGCATCCACATGGCAGCTCTCAAACATCTGTGACTTCAGATTCAGGGCATCCAATGTTCTCTTCTGACCTTCAGGGCATGCACACAGTCCACACACATGCACACACATGCAGGCAGAATGCCCGTGCATGTAAAATAAAAATGAGTAAGCCTTAAAACGAAAAGCCTTGGGAGGGAGCACATTCAGCTCTTCCAGAGAGACGGTTCAATCCCAAGACTCATCATTGCCTGTAACTCGAGTCCAGGGAGAGCCATCGACTCCCACACTCGCGTGTACATGCCTGCACAGGACACATGTAAGCATAACTAAAAATAATAGGAATGAACCTTTGTGTGGCCTTGGCTGTCCTAGACCCTCTGCAGAGCAGGCTGGCCTTGAACTCATAGAGCTCCACCTGCCTCTGCCTCCCTGAGTGCTGGGATCACAGGCATGCACCACCGTGCCCCGCTTTGAAGTTGTTTTTGATCATGGAGTTTTGATCACAGCAAAAGAAGCCTAACTGAGACTACTCAGCCTTTTAAAAGGTTCAGCTGCAGAGTGAACTTCAGCAGAACCGTGCCTTGGTTTGTTTGTCACCGGGGCCTTAGGAGAAAGGGGTAACCTGCGCTTAGTCTCCGCTGGGAAGGAATTTGAGCAGCGCAGGCTTTCTCACTGTGTTCATACATGGGCCCACTGACCCTCTCACTGGCCCGCCACCTTACGTTTTAAGACTGGGTGCCTTGTTGAACCTCAGAGCCAACATTTCTGCAGTAAACCCCAGGGCTCTGCTTGTCTCAGTCCCCCAGCCTGGAGTTTCAGACACTCATCACTGTGCCCAAGTTTTAGTGGGTGCTGGGGACTCAAGCTCAGATCCTCATGCAAGCTTACAACAACTTTGCCCACTGTGGCATCTCCCACGCCTTCTCATCGACATTCCACTTGGATTTGCAGCTCCTTATTAATGTTGATCGGCTTTTCTTTCTTTCTTTCTTTCTTTCTTTCTTTCTTTCTTTCTTTCTTTCTTGTGTTTGTTTGTTTTTGAGACAGGATTTCTCTGTGTAGCCCTGGCTGTACTGGACTCACTTTGTAGACCAGGCTGGCCTCAAACTCATAAAGATCTGCCTGCCTCTGCCTCTCAAGTGCTGCCACCACCACACCCAGACTTGGGGAAAGGGCTGAATCCCAAGACTCAACAAAGGAAGACTTTTCTATGACTGGTGCCATAAAAAATGCCATTAGCCAGTTGGTTATGAAGTTCTTCTTTGCAGTTCCCACGCCTGAGGAAGTTGCTCTTTAAGCAAGAACCCCGATACAACCAGCGATTTTTGTGCAAACATGTTGGCCAGGCTGGGGATGCAGCTGAGCAGACAGAGGGCCTGTGTGGCACACACAAAGCCTGGAGTTCAGTCCTCATTGCTGGATAAATTGCATGGTGGAGCAGGCCAGTCCCCAAACCCGGGAGATGAAAGCAGGGGCATCAGGCTTGCCTACAGTAGCAAGTCCAGGCCCAGCTCAGCCTACATGAGAGCCCGTAAAAAACAAAACTAAACAGATGCCAGTAAAATGCCCATACTGATCAGGGCATGGTGCCACTCACCTGTGATCCCAGCACTCAGGGAGGGGACAGGAAGGTGTATCTTTGTGAGTTTGAGGCCAGCCTGGTCTACAAAGGAAATCCAGGACAGGCAATGCTGCACAGAGAAACCCTGTCTCAAAAAACTAAGAAAGGAAGAAAGGAAGGAAGGAAGGAAGGAAGGAAGGAAGGAAGGAAGGAAGAAAGAAAGAAAGAAAGAAAGAAAGAAAGAAAGAAAGAAAGAAAGAAAGGAAGAAAGAGAGAGGCCATACTGTCTGTAAGTTAGGGTGCAGGCCTGGATAGAGCACACACAGACACACACACTTTTCTTCATTGGATCATTTCCTAGGTGAACTAAAGGTTATTTCAGAAACTATTCAGACTGCATTTTGAGGGAATGGTCAGAGTTCTAGAGAGTCACCAGAGAAGAGAGAAAAGCTGCAGAAGAGCCAGGCATGGTGGTAATTCCATCACTTGGGAGTCAAGTCAGGGGGCTCAGGAGAACAGACTTGTCCTGGCTACATACAGAGTTCCAGGCCCGTCCAGGCTAGGAGACACTGTTTCAAAAGAGACTGGAAATGCAGAAGACATTTGTAAGGACAGAACTGGCAGGGTTAAGTCTTGGCTCATGCAGGTACTCAGGGGAGTGTTGTCAGGAGGGTGGGACTGGAAAAGAGAGAGAGAGAGGATAAGAGCAAACCATGTGAGGTCAGGGAGAGGAATCCCCAGACTATGGAGGCCCTGACAGAGAGGGCTGAGATGCTAAGTGTGGAATCATCAGGCTTCCTGTTTGGGGTTGACCTAGAACCCCAAACCTCACACCTCCTCTCCTCGGACTTCACGAACTAGGTTGCTTTGGGCTTGTTTCCCTTTCCCAGCACCTGCTCGTTGGCTTCGAGGGAGAAGAGCGAGCTTTCGTAGCACCATCCCACTGCCACGGTCCCCCCTCTGCCTGGCTCTACAACCACAGTCCCTGTTGCTCTGTTTCCTCAGGAATATTCCGGAGTGGTGAAGAGTTACATTTTGGCTGCAAACTGTGTCTGTTTGGTCTCTGGCTCTGCCACTTCTTAGCTGTATGACCGTGGGGAAGCTGTGCAATCTTCCTGTAGCTCCATTTCCTTAGAGTAAAAATAGAGACACACTCTGGGGGACAGAGCTTACGCTGCAGACACAGGCCCAAGTTCATCCCCAGTGCACAGCAAACCCCCAAAACAACACCAAAACAAAACAGAGATAAGAGCTGTGTGTGTGTGTGTGTGTGTGTGTGTGTGTGTGTGTGTGTGTGGTGTGTGTGTGTACGTACAGACAGACAGACAGACCCGGAGTAGATACAGGTAAAAGAACGCTAACTTTCTTAGAGAGTTATGAATAATAATTCTCATTACTTAGTTTAGTTTTGGGAAGGAGGGGCGAAACAGGAGTTCATGTAGCCCAAACTGGTCTTGAACTGATCCTTCCGCTTCCACCTAAAGAGTTCTGGGATTACTGGAGTGTGCCACCTCACCAGGCTAAAAGAATTATTAGTGTTGTTGTCGTGACTGCGCAAATATAATGCTCAAACTCAGGGCCCCTGTACATGCTTGGACAATCTCTGTCACTGGGCTACATGCCAAGTCCTTAATGCGTAAATATGTACGTTTTAAGATTTAAAAAAAGTATGAGTGTGTGTGTGCAGCATAAATTTATGTCCACTATGTGCATGTAGGAGCCAGAGGAGGCCTGGAGGTATGTCAGGTCCCCTGGAGCTGCAGTTGAAGGCCATTGAACAGAACCTGAGTTCTCTGCAAGAGTGCTCTTAACTGCTGAGCCATCTCTCCAGCTCCATGTGATTTTAGTGTGTTTACAACATTATTCTATTTCTTAAGCTTTGATAACATTGACTGGCATCTTTTAAGCACGTAAGTGTTCGTGCTCAGATTCGAATTCCTGACCCCGCTTTCAAGGTGCTTTGTAATTCCCTCCGCCTATCTGAGCCGTCTGTCTCATAACTCCTTTCTTGTCCTTTGCGTTTCGTGGGTTCCCTCAGTAATCGTGACTCTGGGGCTAACTCCTGATGGTCTGAACTTCCTGGAAACCCCTGACCTGTTCGAAGCCTGCAGTTTGCAGCACCATCTCTGTGTCTTTCATTCCTTCTCGTGACGCTGGCTCTCACCACCCTCTTCCCACGTGAATCCAAAAGCCATGTACTCCAGTGACGTCACAGTCATCACACTCCCCTACACTTTCACTCCGGTGCTTGAGGAGGAAAGACATTCGGACCAGCAATTCAAGGTCAACCTGGGCTACATCAAAAATAGAAAAAAATGATAATAATAACACTCGTGGCTCCTTCCTGTGAGTGGCTTGTAACCTCCAGGGGGCAGAGAGGACAGCTGATAGCTCCGGGATCTCTGTCAGAGAACACACTGCCCCAGCTCCACGCCACACGTCTGTAAGGGACTCAACCCGGGCAACAGAGGACGGTATGGAGAAGTCGTAGCTTTAATGACAGATTAGTAAGGGGTGGGGATGGCAGTTTCTGTGTGGGTGCCAGGCTCCAAAAGCTGACTTCCTTTGCCTCAGAGCCAGACGATGGCCACTTCATTTCTGAACCAAAAACCTTTCCCTACTTGTTTTCTTCTCTTTCCACCTTTTAAAATAGCTAATTATGTCTTCCCTTTTTTAGCTCTTGCCCTTAAGAAATCTCAACCCTCTAATGTTTTGCTGGTCATCAGACTCTCACAATCTCTAGGCTTGTAGGAGTGATATCAGGTGTGTGCGGAGTGGAATCATCAGAGTGTCGCCAATGGGACTGGGAAAATCATGGTGAAGAGCCCATGCCAGGGTCCGGAATGCAAAACCCTGGCATTTGGTGACCATAGAACGACCATAGAATCCTTATTCTAGGGTGATTTCAGCCTTGAACTGGGGCCTCATCTGACTCTGGGTAAGGGTCATTGTCTCCTGTACCCACTGTTTCCTTCGGCACATCTCTGTGTTTCCTCACACCAGCCTCCATCCTCAAATGTTCCCAAGCTGGTCGGGAGTGGCTGGCCTGCTTACTGAATGCAAAGCCACAGAACAAAGAGACCAGAAAGAAGGCGGCTGGCGGGAGAGAGAGGCGGCGCCGCATCAGAGGGGAAAAGATGCAGTTTCTCTAAATCCGGCAAGAAGACTCGGGCATCGTCCAGAGCTGTCTGAGCTGCCACAGTAAAGTTGGGGTCGCCGGAGACCGAAACATCAAAGACGCAGGATTGGAAGTAGGCGTCTTCGACCGGAAGCCCTTCCTTGCACAGCCTCCGGGCTGTGTCGACGGCTATGGCTCCGCGGCGATTGCGCTCGGAGCGGGAGAGCCTCTGGCTGGGCGGGCATCCGCCCACGCACAGCTGCAGGTCCTGCTCGGCGGAGAAGGCCCGCGCCACGTCCTCCGCCACCCGGATGGAGAAGGAGAGCTGTCCAGCAGTCTGCCGGATGACGATGGTTGTTCCGATGTAGGCAGCTCGGATCTCCACGTGGCTCCCCGGGTTAGCCGTCCGGATGGACAAACTCGAGCCACCAGGCCGGTCGCCTCCGTTGACGGAGCCGTCTTCAAAGGCCGCGGGAAGGTTGTCCACCTCGGCCTGGTAGACTTTCTGGTCGATGCATTCCTGCATGTTTTTAAATATGATGGTGATCTGTGAGGACAAGAGGGGAAATAGCTCGTCAGGGCTCAGTGCGCATCCGAGCAAGCCGCGTACGTCGGCAGAGATCTGATCCCAGCAGAGACGGAAGTTTCCTCCTGGTCCTCAGTCGCCACCCCCAGCCTCCTCCTCAGCGTCACCTGCGCTTGCACGAAATTCCCATTAAGAGAATTCACGTTTGCAGCAGCAAACGTTTGGTGGGAGGAAGCCGCGCGGGGTGGAGAGGATATTCGGGAAAGACAAAGAGCCGGGAGCTGGGTGGGAACAGGGGGAGAGGACTTCAGAAGCGGGGCTGAGAGGAAAACCGAACCCCTGACCTTCCGGGTGGTGGTGGCGTTGGCTCCGGATGCCACGGGGGAGCTGGTGGCCTGGACGAAAAGGAAGTCGTTATCCAGCAGGGGCCAAGCTCCCTGGACGCGGCACGTGTGGAAATGGTGGTGGAAGCTGCGCACGTGGGGGTCCCCAAAGGAGGCGCAGTGCAGGAAGCCGGGGGCCCGGCCGTGCAGCCGGGAGAACCGAGCCTCGTAGTCGCAGGGGTCGGGGCTGAGGGGCGCCGGGCCGGCTCCGGGGAGGGCGGGGCCCCGAGCCGGGGGCGGCGCCGTGGGGCCCTGGCGGGAGCAGTTGTGCTGGATCATCAGGTCCTCGATGCCGTGCACGGCCGAGTGGAAGGCGAGGTCCCCGCGGCAGGTGCGGGCCGTGCGCCGAGTGCACAGCGCGTAGGAGCGCAGGGCGCGGCACAAGGCCCCCGGGGCCGGCCCGCCGCGGCCGCCCCCACGCGGGGTGCCCGGGGAGCCCCCTCCGCGCAGACTCAGGGTGTACTCCGCGTTGCAGCGCAGGATCTTGCACTGGGAGTGAGCTGGGGACGGCAGGGAGACGGGGACCCCACGCAGGGTCCATCCAAGTCCTCACCTAACGGCCAAATGCCAGCCCACCGTCCCTACCGCTCCGCGTGGGCGCCCTCCTCCAGCCCCCTCCTCCTCGCCTCCTTCCCTCCCCGTCTCCCTAGGGTCCAAGGACGCCACAGGACAGGCCTCTTTCAAGCTGGCCGGTGGCTGGGGCTCGGCTCCCAGCCCTCCGCGCTCACGCGTGCTCACGTGCCCACCCCTGCCAAGCAGCCTAACCTCCAGACATCGCCAACCCTTCCCTGGCCCTTCCTTACCCTGTCCACTGAGGAGCAGCAGGAGAGTGAGGGTGATTAGAGTTGGAGGGCTGCCGTGGGGGGACCCGGGGCCAGGGGGCTGGCCTCGATCCCCCATACCTATCCAGCCAGGTCCCCCCCAGGCGCCGGCTCTTCCCAGCTGATGAGGCTCCTACCTAATGAGTTTCCACAGGTAGTTCTGTGACTGGACGAAGAAATTTGGCTGGAAGTGGGCAAAGAGAAAAAGGCGGGTCAAGACGGTGGACAGAGACTCTGGAGAGACCAAGGCAAGGGCTGGACAGAGTGGAGTTTGGGAAGAAGGAGGCTTCCAGATGGCGAGGAGTGTGGCGCAGCTTCTGTGCCCTGCTCCTGTGGTCACCTTCAGGTCCCTTGTGCAATACCCGTAGGTGGGGGTGGAGGGAAGGCTGAGTGACCTCAGGCGGGCAGAGTCCGCTGTACTGCCCCATCCTGACTACCAAACGGCAGATGTATCCAAAATGAAGGCATCCCTGAGGAAAGCTAGGTGCTGATCACCTCAGACCAGGAGGGACCCCACCTGCCATTTCTTTGACTTCCTTGTGTTAGAAGGGCACAGGGGTAAACAGACAAATGCCACCTTTTCTAGAATGCCACCTTTCCAGTGACACAGAAGCCAGAGGGCTGACACCATGATCCCGCTCTCACAGGTTAGGGTACAAATCGAGCATTCAAATTAATATTTGCTTTTGCCTGGTCAATAGTTCGTATGTTTTTCCAGGCCTGGCTGAAGAGCAAGTCTGTGTTCCCTCTTGCAGGTCCAGACTCTCCTGGTCTTTTGAGGGGAACAGATACTGGGGAAGGTCTGTCTCCCTTTCTCTTGCCAAACCCCCCTCCTTAGAGCAAGTATATGAGTTGGGAAAGAGTCAGGCAGGAGATCTGAGGGGTCTTGGGGTAGGAGCTGGGCCTGTAATGAAATGTCAGGTGAGTGTTTCCCACACTCCAGGCCCTGGGGTTCAGCCCTATCACCAACCCTACCCCAAAAAGCCTTGGTGTGGTAAGGTGAATAGGAAAACAAGAGGGCCAGACAGAGGCAGCATTAAACTTCAAGTGGACGCGGTTTGGAAACCAAACAATGAGGCAAGAGGAAAAGTGAAGACTGGGGTACCTTGGTAAGGGGAGACCTTAGTTTTCAGAACAGATGTCTGCGATTTTATGAATTCCTGGCCTCGACCCAAAAGCTTATCAAAGTACCTGCAGTTTCATCTAGACTCACTGCTTCCGGAGGTCAAGCTTTCTCCAGCCACGGCCGCCTGTGCTGTTGCTCTCCTCCGGCCGGGGGTCCCCATCTCTTTCTCCATGTCTCTCCCCGTCCCCCAGACTGGCTGCAGTCTCACCGAGGTCAGAGAGCCAGAGAAGGTTTGGTGTGGGGGGAGGGGGCCGGACAGCTGAGAGGAGGAGGAGCCCACACTGAGTTGACAGTTTTAAAAATAGCTAAGTCCAAAATTCCAGGAACGCTGGTGGCGGTGGGGTGTGCGAGTGAAGGCAGTGGGGACGATAAACGGAATGAGAGTGGAAGACGGAACGTTGGGTACCGAGGGAGGGAGAAAGTGAAGAAAGGCGGCGGGCAGGCCCGTCCAGCCAGCCGCAGCCTGCGGATCTGCCTTCCCCGCCAGGCAGCCTCCAGCCTCCTCGGCCGTGCGCTCCCGGCCTCCAGGAACGCCCGCGGGGTGTGGGATGCCCCTCGTCTATTGCCCGCATCCTTGCCCCTGAGGACCCCGCTGCCAAGCAGAGGTGGCTGGCTTTGAAGAGCAGCAGCGAGTGTAGCTCGGAGACCCTCCCCCGTCCTTGCCGAGGATTTCAGGAGCTGGAAGTCCCAGCTGTCCAGAGCAGAAATCCGAGAGCGGGATTGTCTCGGAGGAGGGTTCACCCTGTCCGCTTGGGTCCCTGCAGCTGTCTCCCCATCTCCACCGTTTCCATTACGCTAGTCTGTGCGCCATTGCTCCTACACACACACACACACACACACACACACACACACACTCACACACTCACACACTCACACTCACACACACTCACACACACACACACACACACACACACTCACACACACACACACACTCACTCACACACACTCACACACACACACACACGTGCCCACAATTTTTTTTTTTAAATAAGTATTTTTAAGGAAAGCATTGTTGTTTTAAAACAGGGTTGTTCCATGTGTAGCCCTGGCTGGCCTAGAACTCATCACGTTGACCGGATGATTGAGACAATCACGCCAACGGCGCTGGGATTACAGGCAGGGCCCCTGTGCCCAACAGCGCAGAAGTGTTTTACAGGACTCGCCATCATCTTCAGCAGAGCTGGTGTTATTCTGGAGCCATTTTGTGTTGTGGGCTTCAGAAATAAACAAACAAACAAACAAACAAACAAATAAATAAGTGGAAGGCTGGAGAGATGGCTCAGAGGTTAGGAGCACTGGCTGTTCTTCCAAAGGTCGTGAGTTCAATTCTCAGCAACCATCCATAGTGAGATCTGGTGCCCTCTTCTGGCATGCAAACAGAACACAGAAATAAATTAAAAAAAAAAAAATTAATGGAAGCCGGGTATGGCATTGCATGCCTGTAATCCCAGCACTCCAGGAGGCAGAGGCAGGCTTATCTCCATGAGTTCAAGGCCAGCCTGGTCTACAAAGCGACCAAGGCTACACAGAGAGCACTTGTTTCAAAAAGCAACCCCCTCCCCAATAAATTAACGGAGGCTGGAGAGAAGGCTGCACATCTAGAGCAGAGGGTGCAGAGGGCCTGGGTTTGGTTCCCAGCAGCCATCAGCTGGCCTCAGAGGGTGCTTTTCTTCTGTCTCCTTGGGAACTGCTCACCCCCTCACATAAACACAGACTCTTATTCTTAAAATAAGTATTAATGGTGTTTGCTTGTTTTTGTTGTTGGTGGTTTTTTTTATTTTTGTGGGGTTTTTGTTGTTGTTGTTTTATTTTGTTTTGTCGTTTGCATTGTTTGAAACAGTCTCCCTATATAGCCTAGGCCGACCTGAAACTTGCAATCCTCCTGCTTCAACTTCCTGGATGCTGTAATCACAAATACTGGGGTTTTTGAGAACCATGATCTTTGGTGTGGGATAGAAATGCTGATTCCTGTTGGTGAAGTTAAATAAAAACTGTTAACTCTTAACTCTAAACCGCTCCAGGGATCAGATGCCCCCTACTGGTCTCCTCAGGCACTGCATGCGGATGCAGGCAAAACACCCATATATATATAAAATCTTTTAAGTTTAAAAGCAAATTTAAATTGTAAAGATAACTGTGTGTTCATGGCATCTTGTCTTTAAATATTCCTAATTTATCATGGAAAGACCCAAAAGCAGTGACACTTCAACTGTCTTAAGTATCAAGTTGCGATACAAAGTGTGATTTCCCACTCTAACAAACCAGAACTCTTTGGAGAATGGCTCATTTCCCCTGGGGACCAGGAATTATCCAAGAGAAGCAGGGAGCTCTAAAATCCTGTATCAAGATGGGCATGGTGGCACAGGCCTTTATTCCTGGCACTCAGAGGCGGAGGCAGATTGATCTCCATGAATGTCAGGCCAGCCTGGTCTACATAAGGAGTTGCAGGCTATCTAAGGCTACATGGTGAGATCCAGTCTCAAATCAAGCAAGCAAACAAACAAAATGTATCAAAAGGAACCAGGAGGGAACTAGAATGTCTTTTGCCTCTTGCGAAAGACAGAAGAAATTAAGTATGAAAAAATGGATACTGTATGTATTGTATTGACACACAACAGACTTTTTTTTTTATAATTAATTTAGTTTTATTTTATGTGCCTTAGTGTGAAGGTGTCAGATCCTTTGGAACTGAGGTTACAGACAGTTGTGAGCTGCCATGTGGGTGCTGGGAATTGAACTCTGGTCCATTAGGAAGGGCAGACAGTGCTCTTAACCACTGAACCATCTCTCCAGCCCCACAGCAAACATTTTAAAGCTAAATTCACAATTATACTTAAAAGTAAAAAGTGATTAGCCATTATTGTATTGGTCCAATTTGAAAGCTGCTGGTAAACGGAGAGAACCAAATAATTATACTGTTTTTGTTTTGTCTTAAATTTTGAGTTACTTTTATTTACATATTTGTGGGTGGAGGGGGAGGGGTGTGTGTGTGCCACCACACAGAACTGAAAGTCATAGGACAACTTGTAGGCCTGGTTCTCCTTCCACTGTGTGGGTCCAGGCTCTCACTGAGGTGAGGCTTGGTGGCAAGCACTATGGCCCCTGAGCGATCTCATCAGCCCTGTTTTGTTTTTCGTGTTTTGAAGGCAAGTTCCAAAGGTTAGCTTCCAACTCAAAACGTAGCCTAGAATGACCCCCTGCCTCCACCTCCCACCTGCTTGAGCTCTTGATGTGAGCCACCGTTCCTAGCTTTATCCTGTTTTACTTGTGGAAACCATATTTAAAATGATGGGGAAATTCTGGCAATACTCAGTAGATAAATGAAGATGGCCCATTGCATAGAGGCATCCACCTTTAATCCCAACACTTGGGAGTCTGGAGAGTTTCAGGTAGGCCCAGGCTACTAGATTCACAAATAGACTTCTGGAAAATCTAAGTATATATTTAAAATAACTCTTTTGGCCTGGTGTGATAGTACATGCCTTTAATCCCAGTGCTTGGGGAGGCAGAGATAGAGGGATTTCAGAGTTCGAGGCCAGCCTGGTCCATAGTGTGAGTCCAGGACAGCCAGGGCTACACAGAGAAACCCTGTATCAAAAAAACAAAAACAAAAACAAAATAATAATAACTATTCTGAGACTCTTTCTCAAAATAAATAAATAGAATACCGTAGCGTAATCATAATGCCAGCATTTTATTACTTCTTCTGCGTTAATGTATCTAGGCAATAAACAACAACAAACCATCACTAAAGCGAGAAAAACATGCTCTTCTGATTGTAGTTAGGTATACAACTCCACTTTGCCTTCCAAAAACAAAACAAAAGCTGGGTGTGACGGCACGTGACTATGAAGACCAGCAGGAGGCAAGAAGACCAGAGGTTCAAGGCCAGCCTGGGCTACAGGAGACCTTGTTCCAAAACAACAAAAACATTTCAGCCCACTGGGTGGCAGCAGTGTGCGCCTCTGATCTCAGCACACTGGAGGCAAAAGCAGA